GCCCCGACGGTCAAGGGGGCCCCATATGAAGGGACCATCTGCTACCTGTACCAGATAACTCATGTGCAACAGTTGCTACCTGCTCTCTTGGAAGCTTATGAATCTTTTGCACTACGATTGCTTGCCTAAACGGAAGTAGACAACGAATGGCCGTAGAATATTCTGTGATTTGATGAAGCCCACTTCCTTTTGCAAGGTTCTGTAAATACTGAAAATTACAGGTTATGGGTGACCGAGAATCAGCCATTACCTCTTCACTCTGAAAAGGTCACTGTGTGGTGTGGAATGACTGCAGCGTTTATCGTTCGCCGGTCCAGTTTTCTTTGAGGAGATCACACATGCGGGTCCTGTTACCTGCACCATTGCTGGCAAGCGGTATGAAGCACTCTTGTGTGACCATGTCCTTCTGGCATTTCAGCAGAGTTAGTATGTGGATGAAAGATAGTGCTCCTCCGCACATTGCTACTCCTGTGAAGCAGCTGCTGAGTGCTCATTTCAGAGATGATAGGATCATAAACGGCTATTTTCTAACAACATAGCCGCCACATCCCCCCCTTAAACTGTGTAATTTCTGACTTTTGGGGTACCTGAAGAATATTGTTTACAGCGGGCAGATTTGATTTTATATTTCATAACTGACGATGAGCCAATTTTTGGGTTTACGACTACTGATGTTACAACTCCGTAGCCTTATAATTTTGAACCCAACTCGGGAGACAAGGGAACTCCTGGATCAAGTATTGGGAGAAATCTTCCTTTGTGAAGGACTTTTTGATGGAACTAACCCGCATTTGCGTTACATGGAGAAAAAGACCACAAGAACTCCCCATGGTTAGTCTGAGGGCAAAGGGACTCTAACCCATGATCCATCTACCGCTGAGGATGTTTTCATGTCAGCACTGTGGTCGGTGTAAGGTATGTGGTCGGCGTATTTGTATCAAAAAGCCATCACTGGGATTCGAACCCAGTTCACCTCATTTGGAGCTCTATCCCCTGAGCCATCGCAGCTCATTGAGACTCTAGCTAACTTGAAGGTAAGCATCACACATTAGATCCATTGCATCAGTACAGATACTCTCCGATCCGTTAGGGAGCATCCGTTTTGTGCTTCCAGTTAGTGGCAGAACAGCGTGGAGGGCACATCGAACAACTTATGCCTTAATCATCAGTAAGATGTTTGTTCTATGAAGTTCTTTTTTTTTGGCATTATCCCTGCTGCTGCTGTAAACATGCATTCTTGTCTTTTTGCAAATTAATTTTTAGTAAAACCCTGAACTCTATTGTTTCCTTTGGGCTAACAACATTCCTGTGTGTAACAAATCCTCCTGACATAACTCTGACCGCGCCATTCATTGGCAGACTTTGGAACTTTTTTTTTCCTTCACCTAACAAAATTACATTTCCTCACGATTGTTCTGTTAAAATATCAGATCATTCTGATGAGTTTTTTTAAAATTATCGATTTTTGAAATCGTAACTTTAATTATAATCACCCTGTACATATTCAATTAAGCAATGGTTGTAAAAGAATAAAACTACGTATTTAACTCAGTTTTTAAACCAATCTATGATATTTTTGTCTTTCCCAATATTTAAGATGAACAATTGCTTACTGTTTGTTTCATGTTTACTGTAGGCTCGAATGAAACGTAGACTAGTGTATGGAATTCGGGAAATAAAGAGACACGTGAAATTGAAAAAACTTAAGTGCATTATTATAGCATCAGATATTGAAGACAGTCAAAGTGAAGGTACTTTTCCATCTTAAATTATTTTATGAAATGTCTTGAAATATAGTTTATTATTTGTGTTGAAATGTATTTCATTTACATCTATTGACTTAACACAAGCAAATAAAAAATATTATTTTTATTATTGTCACTTATTTTAACTAATTTTGCTACCATTTGACTTAAATATCTATTCAGGGTCCGCGGATCCGGGGGGCTTTAGCCCCCTCTTATTACATAAATAAAGGAACACAGCCCCTTCTAAGATTACAATTTTTTACTCAATATTTGTGTAATTAAATTTACGAACAAAAAATTTGTAGCTGATTTCTAAAAAAAACGCTCTATTTCAAGCGAGCTTTAACATTTCCTTGGTGAAAAATGCTACCAAATCATCCCCTCCCGTAGGACCAAAGCTTATCGACCCTATTGCTAATCAAAGGAGGAAAATTTTTACTTTCAAATACCACACCGAACAGAATAAAAAAAAAAACAGTGAAACATATTTAAAAAAATCACCATTAAATGAGAGTTAAATAATTTTCAGGTAAAAAATTTTCTATTATTAATTTTATTTTAATTGTAAAACAATTCGAATCATGGAGTTAAAGTTGCAAGTTCGAATTCTTGATTGCTAATTTGTGAAGTGTGATATATATGTATATATACATACATGTATATAGAGAGAGGGGGGCGGAGAGAGCCCCTCCCTCTTCTCTTTGGATACTTCCACAGTCACTGTATCTATTTGATTCTACAGATTGCAGACAGGTGTGTGTGCCTAGAATTTTAATGACCCCTTCAGCAAACTAAAGCATGCTGACTGCATTCTCAAATTCATTGCTTTAAAACAAGCTTTTAATATAGAAAGTGATACAGTTTACAATTCTAAATTAAGTCCATTAAAAATTTATAAATGTGTAACATTGAAGAAATTATATTGCAATGTTTATTAAGGGGCCATTCAAGCATATTTTAGGCAGTAATCGTTCTTACACTTGGTACAAGGAATTATAATTAGATTCTGGTAAGCTTTTGGCCGATTCCTGTGCTTTATGGTTAGTTGAGCTTTTATTCACTGGATTAAAATCAATTGCAATTTTTATTTATCATCAACACTAGTATAACAGTATAAAGTTAATTTAGTATCAATTCAGTTTTAAATTCAGTATCAATTTAAAACAGTGTCAAATTCTAAGTTTTGCAAGTACAATGTCACATTTCCTGAAATAAAAAGTATCAGATATAGTGCAAAGTGCTCTAATTGAAGTTCCGTGTACCAAGTTCAAGAACTATATTGTTTTTTCTCCACTAAAATTGTGTTTGCTCATCATTTTAGGAGGTTTGAATGACAATTTGGAAGAATTGAAATCACTTGCAAGAGATTTCCAAATACCTTACATATTTTCTCACACAAGAAGACAGTTGGGGAAACGTTGTCGAAAATCTGCTCCAGTCAGTGCTGCAGGAATATTTAATTATGATGGATCAGAAGTAAATACACATTCTCTTTTATTCATGTTATTTATTTTCGGAATGGAGAATTTCATCTTTCTGAAAAAAAGTCAAGAAATTTTATTCAAATACTCAAATTGGAGAAAAGTACTTAATTTTGGTTTGAAACTCTTAAAAATTATTATTATTTTCTTTCTAAATGGATGCAAGCTTTTATTTCCTAAAAATGCATTCATATTTATTAAATTTTTAAAATGACATTAAAACCTTATTAATTACAGACCTTTGAGGTTGGGCAGCTCCCAAAATCAGGGGCAGCATGACTAGCGGAAAAGCGACTGCTAATGTTCAACTCCGTAGCCTTGTAACTTTGAACCCAATCCAGAAGACAAGGGAACTCCTGGATCCAGTAATGGAAGAAATTTGTCTTTGTGGAGGACTTTTTGATGGAACTAACCCGCATTTGCGTTACATGCAGAGGAAAACAACGAAATCCTCTCACGGTTAGCCTGATGGCAAAGGAACTCTAACCCATAAACTGTGGGATACATTATCCATGGCTTATCTAATCCATGATCTAACACTGAGGATATTTTACATCATCACTGTGGTCGGTGCTAGCTGGATGCGGAATTCGTATCGACCAGCCATCGTTGGGATTCTAACCCGGTTCACCTCTTTGGAAGGTGAACGCTCTATCTCTTGAGCCATCACGGCTCCCAAAATCGTACTTAGTGAAAAAGCTTTATAGCTAAAACAAAGTTCAGCAAACACCTGACAGGAATATCTTTTAATTCCCAGGCCTTAATGCTCAAATCTTTGACCAGAATAGACCTCACAATCACAAAGTATGTGTCATGAAATCTTCTCTTCAAGATGACATCCTCGACAAATAGAATCAGATTCAATACCCATATTGTATAGGGGTCCCCTGAGGGTGCAGTGCCTAGTGAGAAGACCAACGATCTTCCTCAAGCTGTTCTTGTTTAGCTGAAGAAAATCTTTTTAACGCACGATAGGGGAGTCACAATTTAGCTCTTCTCTGACCTTCTGAGTTGCGCTATTGCTCCTTGGTAAACTTGTGATAGAGCTTGACTATAGATACCCTGAATTATGTGGGAAAAATTCCCAAAGCTGGTTCAGAGCTACCCGAAAATCGCACTGGAGCCAGACTGAGCTATTTTGTCAGCCAGCTTCCAGTCACCAGGAATACCCATATGCCCAGGTTACGAGTTCCAGTTACCATGTTATGTCCTTGTTACGAGTAGAATTACAGACATTAAAATAGTATATTAAATCTTATCAAAAAGATTTCAAGCATAAAAGTAAATTACATAAGAAAATTTGTGCTGTCAAAAATATTTGGCTTCAATATTAAGATAATAGTATTTTTTCGTAAACATTTATGCTAACTGATTACGAACTTTCCACGGTATTTACCACAAACTTTCCAGTTGCCTTAACTTTTAACTTGTGCCTCAAAAATTACAACAAAAAAATTTCATGACCTATTTCAATTCTTTTTTGTTTGTAATATATTTGGTTCATTCCTGAAAATATTTTTTTCAATTTCTGTAACAGGTGTTTTAAAATGCATATTATTCCCTGAAAATTTTTATCTCAAATGTGTCAATCCTATCCGTTTGATAGAGATATCAAATGAGAGTCTATCATCCATCTAAAGAGAATTGTTTCCATTTGCCAACTTTAAAAAAAGTGTTAGTAATTTTTTCAAAAATCATTGTTTTTACGATTTTACGTGCATAGACGATTTTGCGCTCATAACTTCTTTTTTTTTAACTTTTTTTTTCGATTTTTATGCGAAAGGACAGATTTTAGCTAATTTTTTCTTATTTAGAGCTATTTATGGTAGTTTTTTCAATCTCTTGCTGAACTTAGTTTTGGTTAACCTCAAAATTTCTGTTTTGTTTTTTAACTTGTACTTCGATTATTAATGATATTAGTTTCATAACTGGATTATTTAGATGTTACTAAAGTAAATAAATTTATTTTTTCTATTTGTGTATGATAAATGGGGACTTTTTCCATTAAAAAAATGATGTTTATGCTACCCTGTGTTCATGTGTGAAATTTTCTCTTTTTTTTTTTCTTGGGGGTTGGCAGGAATACGATTGTGTGGGCTTAATTTTTGGTGTCTTAATTGTCATAATCGACTTAATTGTTTCTCAATTATGTTGCAATGGAGAAATAACTTGAATTAAAGAATGACTTAGAGAAATAAATTTGAAGTTGAAAGTGGCTCATGTGTTTAGCTTTTGAAGAAAAGCAATCATTGTCATCTAATCCGTGGTGTCTCAGGAGATAGAGCGCTCACCTTCCAATGAGGTGAACCGGGTTTGAATCCCGGAAGGGATGGTTGATTTGAATTCCACAATCGTCTCGCACGGACCACAATGCTGGCGTAAAATAACCTCAGTGGTAGACAGATCATAGGTTAGAGTCCCCTTGCCATTAGACTAACCGTGAGAGGTTTTCTGGGTTTTCCTCTCTATGTAACNTGTCGCGATATATCGATTTATAGCCCAGTCCTAATTATAATAATATATAAATAATTTAAAAACGTCATAGTTAAACAACATGTCAATTTGGTTTAAACGATGACAAGGGGCCCCTGACAGTTCTGTGCTTAGGGCCCTGTATTTATAGATCAGGCCCAAAGCAAAAGTAATGATCATAAAGTTATTTTGCTAAATAATATATTAACTATCTAAACTTATTGATTTTGCCTTGTGACTTTTTTAAAGTTAGGCAATGATGCATGCCACTTAATATTTTAAAATACTGACACACTTCTTATTTTGTCTAAAATGTTTAAAATAATGCTATTTTCACTGTCATAATTTTTGATATCATGACATTTTTAAAATTTCCTTTTTGATTTTGTCATATCAATGTTCAATGATATTTTAATGTCAAAAAAAAAATTTAAAAAATTTTCAATTTAAGTTGGAAGAATTTTTATTATTTTTGCAATGATGAAAAATTTTCAAATGAGTTAAATCTTCTGAAATAACAACTTTTCTTTCAATGTCTTTTCAGGAAAATTTCAAGAAAATGTTGATGTTGCAAAGGGATTGCAAGCTTGATTATGTGGCAGCTATCAAGTCACTCTCATCTAACCTGACAGATTCTCAAGTCGAACTGTTGTGCCAAACAAAGGAAGATAATCCATCCAATCTCTCATCTGTCAATACAAAACTGTTAAAAGAGTTTTACCCACCAGTAAAACTCATAGATGATGCTTCCGAATCTTGTGAAGATGATACAGTTGCAGGAATCGAAAGCAAGAATTGTAAAGATGAAAAAGCTATAATGTATAATATTTTATTGAAATATAAAATAATTAATTATTAGTTTTTTTTTCAGTGTCTTAAAATTTTAATGGATTACCAAAAAAACTCCCTTTGATTTAAGGTCTGACAGTGTTTGGTTGGCATTATTGATGCAATAGAACAACAAAAACGCATTTCAAAGGCGGGAAATTTTGATACTCGCGAACTTGAATCAAAACCTGTCCTGTATAGAGTAAACCTAAAGGTTTACTCTATACCTTTACTTAAAACAGTTCAACCTTATAACCTTAGTCACTGATAAATACAGTCGGACTTCTTTTTCACGAACTTCCATACTGCGATTTTTTTTTTTCTAGGAACCAAGAACATTTTGGAAATATCTTTGTAAAATAACCTCCGAATAGCGAAGTGAATTTTATATTTAACGAACTTTTCTTTGAGATCCGCTTTCCCTATTTCCCAAAATATTTCAAGCTTATCAACGCATTTTATGGGGGACTTGACCTTGATTTGATTTACAAAGTTACTTAAGTTATAGAGAGAGCAGTGAAATCCCTATCCCTTTTTGTTTGCATTTCAAACAAAAAACTCAGACAAAATTAGCGGATTTTATCAGTAGCAATTGAACTTGAGAACGCATGTCGTTATGTATGTTTAAAATTACTTTTATAATAAATGCAACTATAATTTTATGCATAAATTTAGCTTTTTTTTTAGTTGAAAATGTATGTAGCATTGCTTTTCATGCAGATTTCTTTTATGGTTAAGATTTATAAAATAAGTAGTAGATACTCGTTTACAAGATAAAGGTGTATCAATTACCTTTTTAATTATGTCTAGTGTTTATGAATTTAAATTTGTGTATTTCAAGAAGTGATTTTTTGTTTAAGGAATTTACCATATAACAAACTTATTATCGGGATTTACCGATTTCGTTAAATAGAGGTCCGACTTTATTTGGCGAGAGGAGTTGTTTTGTTCGACAGACAGTACATATTTGTTATGTTTAGGTAATATTTTACCCACCAAAATTTCTTTGCCTTGTTCTGAACTACTATTTACTGAAAAAGGCTTGGTCTGTAACAGGCTGCAGTGCTGAAGCAGAAATATTACCTTTAATCTTAATTAATTTCCTTTTAGGCAAGTAATATCATTGCATGTTTATCTTTGAAATTTTCATTTGGAAAGTTAATATAGTGTACAAAAAGTACACCTCAATAACTTTTCAAAAAGCTGACCTTTAATATGCTGAAATATTTGTGGTGACGATATTTTAAGTTACAAAAGGAAACACAAAAACTTTCTACTCTAAAAAACACACTTTTTTTTTTTTTTTTTACAGAATATGGGAGATTCTTGCAATCTGGGAAATATTGTCTTGTAGTTATGACAGAAGAGCTGTCAATTATTTGAGGCCTTTGATGTTAATATCACTTTTTTTCCCCTAAACAGTATCAAAAAAGTCGTACTTTTAAATTTTTTCTGATTCAGAAAATTGTTGAACATAAATAATTATTAAAAAAAATTTATGTAGAATTATATTTGCATAAACGAGTTTTATAAATGCGTGACAAATTATCTTACACACTTCCATAGACATGGTGAAATACGCAAAGAAACTCCTAACTCTCGTTTTCCCCAGCCTTAACTATTGAGACCATATTTTCTAGATTGCCCGTAAATTGAATGTCAAGAATTTAAAAGTATGTTTATTTAGAGAAAATTGATTTCATAACTAAAATGTCTACACAAATGTTTTAGCACATTTAAAGTTTGTCCCTCGAATCATTGAACTTGCATTTTGTTACAATATGGAATCTAATCATTAGAATATAAGTTATTAAGATGTTTGTTTTCTAATTTTGTGCTCTGTACATTATTTTATCTATTTCTAAGTAAAAATTCTATAGTTTTCAACTTTACCATACCAGTTTGTTAAATTTCTTTATACCTCTATTCTCTCGATCAAACGCCCTCATATAACTCTTGTTCTTCATCTGTTCGATTTAATTTAAATTATCTGAAATGAACTTTGATTATCCGAAATTATTGGGAGCAAACTTAAAGCAGATAATCAAAGACTTGATCAGAGAAAACAAGTCATTTTATCAATCTTGATGAAGCAGGGAAATTTTACTATACCTAAAAAAGGTAGCGTTTACTATACCTAAATAGAACGTTCGCCTTCCAATCAGGTGAACCGATTTAGAATCTCAACCATGGCTGGGCGATACGAACTCCGCATCCGACTTTCACCAACCACAGTGCTGATCTAAGGTATCCTTAATGGTAGACAGATCATGGGTTAGAGTCCCCTTATCATCATGCTAACCATGGGAGGATTTTGTGGTTTTCCTCTCCATGTAATGCAATTAGTTTCATAAAGATGTCCACGACAAAGGCAAATTTCTCCGAATTTTGGGATCCAGGAATTTCCTTGTCTTCTGGATTGGGTTCAAAATTACAAGACTACGGAGTTGAACATTAGTAGTCGTAAACCAAAAATTGGATCGGCTGTTCACCGTTATAAATACCTAAAAAAATCAAGAAAAAGGATTAATTTAAGTTTGAGGTGTCTGCAAGCCAGTGGTGTACCGTGCTAGTGGCACTCGCTAGGGGTGCCAGCTTGGTGCAAATATTACTCTAGCAATGTGACAGAAATTTGAAACTTGCAAAAAAAAAAAAAAAAAAAAAAAAAAAAAANAAAAAAAAAAAGAATCGAAGTTGACAGAAGCTAATAATTTTCAGTATTTTCCATCCAAACATTTTTCTTTCAATTATTTACCCTCTAGAAATACCCTCTGTTGTAACTATACCCATATGCATAGCTGCCAACTCTATTGGATTTTGCAGTTTCTCCTGGTAAACTGGTTTAATAAAAATTCCCTAAAATTAAGTAAGTTTTCTAAAAAAATCCCTATTGTAAAAGAATTTTTGAACAGACTATTGCTTACTCGAGTATTTAAATAATTATTACTAATACATAATAAAGCGAGCCTCATTTATAGAAATCAGTTTAAAACTTTTTTGTTCTAAATCTTTCAGTTTTTTTTTTCAGAATTCCCTTTTTAAATAAATTAAAAAATCTTTTAACTATCTTTGATGAATTAAATATCAATTACTATTCAAAATAATGAGCAAACATAATGCATAACATTTGAAGTTAATCATAACTAGATAATATTGCAGTTTTCCTATTTTGATAATTTTAAAATTTNTAACTATCTTTGGTGAATTAAATGTCAATTACTATTCAAAATAATGAGCAAACATAATGCATAACATTTGAAGTTAATCATAACTAGATAATATTGCAGTTTTCCTATTTTGATAATTTTAAAATTTCCTATGTGTCAAATATTTAGCACATTATGCATCAATTATCGTGAAGTTTATTTTATTTTGTAAAATCTACTGGATTTTTTCCTATTCATTTTGACAGGTATGCATATGTAACATGACCCTTATGCAGAGAACAAAATCTAAGGAATTATTTCTGAGTTACGTCCCACTTCCCTTACTTCTTAAACTCATTTCAATGTTTGAATTCTCTTATTTCAAAGACTTGCGTTTACAGACCCCCATGGAGGTTTCTATTACATCTTCTCAAGAACACTATTTTGTCTTATTGTAAGAAGTTTAGTACTCTTTAAGTCAACCCTCTCCTGTTTCTTTTTTCAAGAAAAAATTATTCCCTTCTTGTTTTCAGTAACAATCTCCTACATTCCGAAGCGGCATAATTATTTCTCAGTTGAAATTCGAGGATTGTTTTATTAAGTAAGAGCGGTTTGGAAACAAAAACCAAACAAAAGAAAATATTCAAGAAGCAAATGTATTTTCAGATTCTACATACGTTTTAGCATAGTTTGCCAACTCGAGCCGTGATAGCTCAGGGGATAGAGCGTTCGCCTTTCAATGAGGTGCCCACAATCCCACCGATGGCTGGTCGATACGAATCCACATCCGGCCACAGTGCTGACGCAAATATCCTCACTGATAGACGGATCATAGGTTAGAGTCCATTTGAAAGCAGGTTAACCGTGGTAGGTTCTCGTGGTCTTCCTCTTCATGTAACGTAAATGCGGTTTAGTGTTTAGTTCCCTCAAAAAAATCCGCCACGAAAGCAAATTTCTCCCAATACTTGATCTAGGTTTCCCATGTCTTCTGGGTTGGGTTTAAAATTACAAGGCTACAGAGTTGAACATCAGTAGTCGTATACCCGAAATTTGGGTCGGTTGTTCAACGATGGTTATAAAATAGTTGCCCAGTTTGTTTAAACACTTATTATACTTTACAACTAGGTTTAGAATACCCTCTTCATACAAACTTGCGGCCTACTCCGTTAACCACGAGGTCACGGCCGTCGTCGTTGTAGTGATTGCCGCCAAAATGATGTTTGAAATATCGGAAAAGATGAAATTCACTCAGTGCAAGGTCTGGGCTGTAGGGAAGGGTGGTTCAAAACTTCCCAACCAAAAGAATCCAATAAAGCTGGGATCTGTGCTGCGGAGAGAGCCACTGTCTAAGAGTAGCTAAATTCCCTGTCAGCATGGCAGGGAATTTCGCTACTTCACATATTGTAACCTCACAAATCTGTCAGTTAATGTTTACAGCAAACAGGTTTTTTGCCGACTAAAAATGCATCGCTTATTGTATTTCGCGCGTGGCGGCTGATTTGTTTAATTGTTGACATTTTAAGGGTCCAGAACGGACCGTACAATTTACCTACACAACTGCAACTGAGCGCAGTTGTTCCCAAGGAATGCTGGGACACCTATTAATGTACACAACAAAACGGCCCTTACTTAAAAGAACAGCCCTCGTAGTTTCATTTTTGCTCATTCGCTTTAAATGTACTGCGTTTCTTTATTTTTATCACGTTTCCATTATGAGAGTAAAATTTTCGAGACTTATAATTAAAAGGTAAGCAATGATATAAAATATATAGCTATTATTCATGCCTTACCTTAATATTTATACAGTGTAATAGAGTAATGTAAGTTACATTTCATTGTTTTGAATGCGTGTTCTCTCACTTTTTAAATTTTTCTATGCATTAGAAATAAT